GTAGAGGCGGCGCAACTATAACGACATGTGAATAATCCCGCCCACTCTAAAGCGGTACTGAACTGCAGTGGAAACGCAAACCGTGCCGAGCCGAACCGTGCCGTGCCGTACCGTACCGTACCACGCAGTGGAAAAGCACCATTTGATGGGCACAGACTCCAATATTTTTGAGCTCCAGACTATGATTCCATCCAGTCAGGGAATATCAAACGTTTGATATTTTAAGCCGATTTTTAGAACGCATCTTGTTTTCATTTGACATGCGTCTATTAACAACGAGGCGCATATTTCTGTGCAAGTTTGTGTTCGGGAAGTCTGGTAGTGTGAGATTCTCCATTTTTTTTCCCGTTTTTTTTTTTGGTGTATGATGCCCAGTTTTTCCCTCTGTAACCATTTACAAAGTCTACAAGTATATGATGTGTAGTGTTTTAAAACTTGCTCAGATTTAGTATATTCCAGCCTTAGTGTGTCGCAGTAGAATCACCTTCTACATTTCATCCGTACAGGTTGCTTCCCTCATAGCGACTCACTAAATCTGGCAAGAACGTATTGTCGAACACATCCATCTTATTCAACAGAGACACTAGGGTCATGTAAGAATTCTGCGTTCAATCTGAAAGGTTGACGTGTCAAAACCAGCATCCATCACAATCTCTATGCATTTATGTGAGAGTGATATAGTATAGTCCTGGAGAAAGACTGAGCATGCCATTAAACAATCCAGCAAATGCACCAGTATTAATGGTGGGTACCATTTTCTGTACTTGATAAACCTGTTGGTTTTTGTGGCTCCAACCAAGTAATTTTAGGCAGAGACTTGAGATCAAATACTGATAGTATTTGAAGTTTTTATAAAGAAGAATAGCTAGAGATTGCAAGTGGTCCCACCTGTTATGGTGCTAATAATGACAACGGTTAGACATGAATGTTGACACCAAAATAGACGCACAGCAGTGGTCAAAATATGCAATTTCTCCAATAAGCTTGAATTTGATATGCCAACTTCTTGTTTAATACACCATTTTCTGCATAGTGGTTTCAATTATAGTATCAAACTTGATGCAGATTATTACTATCTGAACTCTTGTACAAGTGTTTTATACATTCATGAGGTGCTTAATTTTCCAGTTTTCAGAGTATAATCATGTCGGAAAGACAGATTGAGCATCAAATGAGATGGTTCACTTAGACTTGATGGATTTACTGTAATCCATAATACATTAGCCAATGACATGTGACCGAATCCAGACTTCCTATACAGCTTTGGTTGTCCTAGCTTAGCTTCCCCGTGTGTTTGTTTTGTTAAGGCCAGTGGTTGGAAGAATCCTGTTTTTAAGTCTTTTTAATGTGATCAACGACTGACCTCTGGTCCTTAAATTTGGCTTCCAAATAGTTTAGAGTTTTTTGTATTTTCTTGCATGTTTTGTCTACCCAGTTTCCATTTATCCAGGAATTGAAGCTAATTGGGTTGGTGTTGATGGTCTGCTCTATATCTGAACGGTGAGAAGGCTTATTTGATGGTGAACTGTATGCTTGTGTTTCCCGTGGGCGACTCGAGTCTTGCCAGAGTTGTCAGTCAGCCTATGGGGGTGTGTGTGCGTGTGTGTGTGTGTGTGCAGCAATGCGGAAGAAGTCATGTGTGAAAGATGCATACAAGAGTCGTTCCTTTTAATGGAGTGCAGTGGCCCCCGTCTCCTTTTACTTGATTGCAGTTTGCCATAATTGCTTGAATACATATTAATCCAGACATACGCTGTGAGCTTGTGTGTTCGTGTGGCCGACCCTCCCTGTCTTTTGGGGTCCACTTTTTTTTTCCCCAAAATTGTTACTTTTTCATAATCTAACAGCTCGCTAGGGTTGCAAAGCATTCATAAAAATGAATAATATAAGGCTTGCACAGGTTCGGTCTCGTTACGATGGACTGTAACCCTTGAATTACTCATTATGCACCTGAACTGATTCAGCACTGCCAAACAGGTGTGAGAGGAGTGTTTTCCTGGGTGTTCCTGACTAACCCCTACTGGTTGACTGTGTACTGTGATGCTCACTAAACAGAGCTCCTATTGCAACTATTAATACCGAGCTGAGTCAGAGATCCGGAGGGTTCTGTTAGTGTGTTTTTCTAAGGCCTTGTTGCTGCAATTTTGGTCACACGTGGGAAAGCCCTCCTGTATGTGTGTCTGAAGCCGAGCGGCGCTCTGAAATATGCAGAGTGCAAACTTTAATTAATCTCTGCCTGAGAATGAAGTGGTTATGCACGCGACAGTCTGAGAGCTGATTCACTTTTATCTGCGTTTGTGCTTTATTGCTGAATGTTTGCTTCTGTAAAGAGAGAAATATGCATGAGATATGAGTGAAGTCAGTTGGGAAGGTGAAGTGGGTTCATGCTGGTGAATTGTAAAAAAACTTGTCAAGAATGTGTCCGGGTCATACATCACCACAAAATCGAAAGAAGGAAATATTGAATTAATTCTATTTTTAGGACCTTTTTAATGCACGTTTTCATTTTTCATCAGTGTATCACAAGTAAGTGATATGTCATTTAAATTGTAAGGTTTTTTCTGCTGTTTTAAATCAAAATCACTGACCTGCAGTAATGAAAATCATTATTTAGAATGATTGGAATGATGCATTTTTAATAGAATTTATTGTATTTTTCCATATTGATTTTGAGATTGAATGTGACCTGCACATGTTTTTTTTTTGTGAGATTCACTCGTTCGGGATCCTGTTGGATGGATGTACAGCTGAAGGAGGGCTATATGATGATGATTTTGTATTTGTGAGTAGGTGGGCCGATGAAAATGCTGATTGTTTAATGGGAGGCTTTAAGAGATTACGGACTTGATATGAAAGAGCTTTCTTAATTTACTCCCACCAAAAGAAAAAAAATATTGTTTCTCACTATGTTTTCTGACTGGTCTTTTCTTATGCTTTCCATCTTTGTGTATCCTGACGTATTAGTGCAAAACTGTTATGTTATTTGGGGTCTCTCCCCCCCACACACACCCTTCCCTCTTCATTTTTCTTGTCTAGATTTTAATCTCTCCAGCAGTTGTGGAAATGATTGACTGTACTGAGTGTGGAGAAAGGAAAATGTCTTTCTTTTTGCTTTATTGTCATTAATTCAGAATCTGTTTTTGTTGGATGTACCATGTGTAAGTAAAGGTTTTAATACAGCACAGTTGTCAACTTTTTATCTTCTCTTCACAAGCTGCCTCCCTTTTCGCAAACTATTTGAAGTATTTTTCACATTACTTACCAGACCTATAGAATTAATTTGCTTTAGTTTATTTTTTTTTAAAGAAGATACAAGTAGTATTTTTCACTTTATTTTACGCAGTATCCTGTTAGGTGACTTTATAATAAACCTAAAACGTTTTAAACACTTTTCTAACTACTGTATGTGTATGATTGTTTATGATTAGTTACAACATCTAAAGTATA